CGATTCGTGATAAATGGAACTGATTGTTCCGTTCGTTGGCTGATGAGCGACTTGAAGATAGCAATGAACGGTCAACTACCTGCTGCATTTGAGAGAAGAGGTAAAATACCTCTAAATCATGGTTCTTTATACCTCAGTGGCATTTGAGAAAGCCGTCAGAGTCAGTGATTGTCTCGCACATTAAATCAGTTTCAACGTGTTGTAGAATGTAGCATAAAAATGATCTCGGTGCATCCTACCAATGATCACCTGCACACCATTGGCAGGTTTCCTAGTGATGAGTAAAGTAGATTTGTTTCTCTAAAGCCGCGCCTGCCCCATACTTTCAAGTGAAATATTGATCACATGAATTTTGGTATGCTTGCGACGCTGCACATTAATAATTGTTGATTCCTCAGAACAGTGGCGTGTAATGAAGAAAACAAGAAACTAACGCTGCATATCACGTGAATGCATTGATAAAGAATTTCGCAAATGATATTTCTGCATGATTATTAGGTCACAAAAACATGATTGTTGATGTCCTTTTCAATGAGGCATACGAATACTAAATCGTGGCAGTGGCTACACCGATGTGTAATCGAACGCCTTACTGCATGAAATATTATATCATTCTCAACGAACAATAGTGAACACAGTTTTCAGCTCAAGCATTCCAGTGGATAATCGATCGTGACAGGACTGCCATTGTCAGAGGCAACAGTGCACTGATTTGAATATCACAGTGAACAACAAACTTCACGAAGGGTGAAACCCAGGTTCAGGTACAACTGGAGTTGCAATTGGGCGGCAAGCCTGCGCATCCTAAAAATGTTAACGCATCGGTCTTGCAGTTTAAAGATCCATAACTTTTGGAAGAGATAGGAGATTTGATCATTTCATTTCGCGATTTCAAGCCGTTTCAACTTAATCACTCTTTCAGGACAAAATCTTGAGGTAGTGGAGTTTTTATTTGTGTACAGAAAGATTGGTGCGCCAAACCAGGAGCTGAATATTCCTTTAAGTCTGACTGCATAGCCTTCTAATTATCAAATGCTGGCGAAAGCTCTTTCCTACGCACATATGCGCCATGGAAGGACAATATTTGTATCGTCCCAACTGTCGTGCCCCAGGCTTGGACGCATTTATAAAATCTTCGAGGGCCTTCTGGCAATCGGCGATTCGAAATGTAATCATATTGGTTAGAAATTTCAATCGCCGCCAGCTGATTT